TAAATTAAGGAAGAAATTCTCTCTCTACCTACTGGTGCCCCTCGTTTCATAACACCACTCGGGCTGCCCTAGGAATTGACAATTGCATCTTTGCTGCCTGTTTCAACTTGGTCCCTGTCAACCAAAATCCACATCATTTTTTATACAAATTCTATAGACTTGCTGAAAGGCTTACACTGCATGCTAAAAAGATTAGATTTTGGTCATGGCAATGCAAGAGGTGTATTGTTTAACTTCTATCAGGAAAGCAGAGGCTTTAAAGAAGCCTGAGGATCCATTAAGGCTGGTGCTTAACAGAACTAAATATAAAAAGTACAGTGTGTTTAGCAATTCATGGTTATAAAAATAGTGTTTGTATGAAGGATCTCTGAGAAGTGTTAATGCCATTCACACACAAATGATATTCATACAAAGGCACCCTAGCCAAACTGGGACAATACAATGAACAATAAATATACAGTTTACCATCTCATTGTCGTATTATATCTCAATTTCATAAACTTCAATATATACAAATAGTTTCTATCCACAATAATGTAGAAGAGAATTACCCACATAAGACAATTTAAGTGCATCTTTTATTCTAGGTTGAGTAAGTGTATGGGATTATCAGAGTCACTAAAACAGGTAACCAAATCAAGATGCTTAGATGTTCCTGACATGATCTGCAGTTTTTCATCTCAAAGTGCTCCAACAGCAATGCATAGATGCCCAGGAGTACCCATATATATTCCAGTCCCAAATATGAACAGTGGATAGGGATGATACATTATAAAATGTAAAGGATTTCTTACAGTCTGAGTTATTCTACCTCTAAACAGGCTCTGTTTATAGTACTTCTACTTAGGGTTCTTATACTCCACAATAGAAGACTTCTTGACAGTCAGAAATGAGAGAGGACTCACAATGCACTCTTAGATATTTTTATCTTATTTTATCCCAAATCAAACATCACTGAATTCACTTAAGTAGCTACACCAACTTTCCCTACCTTGGTGTCTTTCTGATATGTTAACCATGTTGGCTGAGTATTCGGGAGTTGTTCTCAACACAAGCAAATGGCCCTCAATTTGGGGAGAAGACTCTTGGAAGAGACTGAAGCTTAAGAAAAATGAATGATTTGCTGGCAAAACTGCCCACTCATGTCTTGTGCATAGGACCAGGCAGATGAATAAGGGAAGAAGCTTTCTAGTCAAGGGGAACCAGAAACAGATTTTGTTTTCAGTTGCACACCTTCTGGTATCAAATCAATATTGTAAATATGTCAAAACAACTTCAAAACATTAGCTTACTAGAAATATTATAAATATGATTTTTAAAACATGACTCCCTTCTACCCATTTATTCCTGTGGCTCAGAAGCCATCTGAATTAAATTACTACAGAAGTGAACTGTATTTTCCAAAATCAGTTGCAGCTGTCAAGAGAAGGGATAGGAATAGGTTTCACTCCAACTTCTTGGTTTTCATCTACAGGTTATTAGCATGGTAGTAAAGACAAGCCTTCGCTAAATACTGTAAGCCACAACTGTAATCATCTGGATGTCGCCTTGGGTCCTTGCATCTTCACAATTAACTACAAAATAAAACCTGACAACAGCCATTAAAATACACTGAGCAACTTTTTCCATGAAAAGCATGGGCAATTAACACTGGAAACACAAAATTCTGTCTCATAAAAATTAAAGAGTACTGTACTGTGCAAAACATTTTTTAAAAAACCTAATTTGTTTTTTTCCTAGTTTGAAACCACATATTCTTAAAATGGGAAAGAGCCAATTAAGTCCCAGTCATTGCTAAAAAGTATATAGCCATCCTTCCAAAACATTACTTTAATTATATTTTTATAAACATTACTTGATATTACCAGAGAGACTTAGGCTAGGTAAATGATTTCCAACATCCATCCAAGATAGAATGTGATATCTAAATGTGTTTACTCATCAGCTGTGGTGGAGTACATTCCTAATGCAGCGCTAATACTGACCGTTTAGTTGAACAGTTGATAACATGGAATGGAAAAATAATAATTACTATACTAGGATATACAAACATTATTTCTTCCTTATATTTGTTTTTGTAATATTGTTTGACAAAGATTTCCAGGTAACTGGTTTTTTGGTTGGTCCCCTTGTTTGTGGATTATGGACTTTGCTCTCATGGTCTAATACAGCTATAACAGGTCTTTATATACACACACACTCCAATGCTTATCATTTCTGATAATATCAAAGACAAATTTGGTATTTAGCCTCCCAAGGCAACTTAATGCACCTCTATTCTACACTCTAACTTTAAAATATCTATTCTTTTAGTTGAGTGTCACTCTTGTACCTATTTTATTCATATCCCTAAGGATAGCTGCAATGCATGTTACAGAGGATGGGTTCCTACTTAAATTACAAGCATTGAATGAAAAGAAATGCCTTCAGTGTTATAAGTTTCTAATACAATATGTTTCCAACACAACTACGTATTAGAAGCTTATTGTTTAGCATCTGTTCTTCCACTTCAATTGGTGGGAAATTACTGTGAGAAAAAGTTGTGTTGCTATTGTCCGTGAAATGGACGCTTGCAGTGGGAACTCATCAGCGCTCTTTAATGCACTGATTGAATTTCTGACTGCCAAAGGAAATCTCCACAACTGAAATTCACTGCCAAATGCAAGTTGTTTATGGTAATGACCACACTGACCAGAGTCCGTTTGTCGCTGTGCCAAAAAACATGTAATGGTGATGAAGAGCTGATTTGTGTGAGCAAGAATGAAGTCCATGATTTGTGACAGCAGGACTGTCACATAAGAAAGGTTGATGAACTGATTAAGAACAATCAGTGGATCAAACTGAAACTGCTGTCAACCTTGGCATTTCACAGGATCATGTACAGTAGGTCACATTATTGATGTTCTCCTGTATCATAAGGTTTGTGTGTGATGGGTTTCTTCCATGCTGATGGCAGAAATGAAAGCTTCAAAACTTGAAATTTGGTTGTCACAGTATGAGAATGAAGGTGAGGAATTTCTTCACAGCATCGTGACAGCCGATGAAACAATGGGCTCATCATTGTCACCCAGAAACTAAACATCATTATCTATGGAATATCATCACAAAGTATAGAGGAGCACAGAAATTACCTTGGAGAAGGTTTGGGGTGACTGTTAATAGAGTATAGCCTAAGAAAACAAGAAGTGATGAGAAAAAAACTAAAAATTACCCTGCCTTAACTCTTTGATATAAGAGGGAGAGAAGGGGAAATGCTGTCAGGCTTTCAAGATTCTGTTACTATAGCCTCTATCAATAAAGTAGAGTTCTAGTATTTCTTGTGGTATCTATTTCCTGATCAAGCCCACCTTGAAGGGCTAATACAAAGCTTCATTTATGAAAGAAAAAAAAAAATCAAAACTCAGGCTTCAGCAAGAAAACTCATGGTTACCATTTTTGGGAACGCAGATGGTGTTATTCACATAAATTTCCTTGAACCTGGCAGCGCTATTAACTGAGCCCTACACTGCAAAACCCAAAACTTGAAACAATAATTAAGCAGAGCTTATAAGCACAAGAAAGAAAAGAACATATCCTGACTTAAGTACTTGCCATTTCATATCATATAGAATTCACTGACAAAATTTTATTGGCAGGAGCAAAGGGGAATCCAGGCAACATCTTTGATTTGAAACTTTCCTGCATATTCCCACCATTACTTCTTTTACTTACCATCTACTGAGAGAAAAATGAAATTGCTATACAACATCACACGTTTTGCTTACTTTTTTGAATAGCAATTGCTCCACCAGCAGGTCATAATTCAAGCTGTTTTTAGCTCTTCTGTTTCAAAAGCAGTCTGCCATACAGCTTGAATGAATACCAAAGACTTCTTATACATGTGGAATTACGCACGTGGCTGTTGAGATCCTGCCCTTTTTATGTAATATTATGTCTTGCCCTTTCCCAAAGATCCACTTAAAGACAAAGCTTCACTACAGTCACAAGTGTTGCAGGAAGTTAGTTTACAGCCAAAAGCATCCTAATGCTGGCCAGTCAAATTTGCTTTTCAGGATGTCTTCATTTCATATTATCAAAGGATATCATGAATGAAACCACCACTTTTTATAATAAATATCCAGCTTCATGTCAACACGTACTCAATTTCCAGTCTAAACAGTTTGGCCCCAATCATTTTAAAGCACAAATTAGAAATTCACTTTCACTTGAATGTATAAAAATAATTTTTCAGAAAGCTCTTTTTTAAAAAGTATTTTGAATGCCTTGGCCTACAGCTTCCATTATTTAGAACAGCACGACTGATGCTGGGAACAAGGAAGGATCAATTCATCTGAAGGACAACATGCTAGATAAGCCTGCATTAACCAACATTTCAGGATATTTATAAGGTCCCGCGTGCGCACACACACATCCCAGTAGCTATTGTCCATAATGCCAATATAAAATTAAGAAATTCAACCCCATCGTATGCAGAACTGGAAGCATCACTAAACAAAAAACAAAGGGTGTTTCTAAAGATATCACCAACCAAACTTGCTCTACAAACAGTCCAAAAGGAAAAAAAAATAGTTTGTAGGAACCCAAATGAGAGAATAAATGCAAACTTTTTCTAAGTTAACTCATCATAGCTCACACGATCCATTAAGGTCACTAGGTTATTGTAGAACCACAGAAACAATATTCAGGCAACTTTTAAAAAATCAGACAAACTGAATATATTCTTGTCGTTTTGTGTAAATCAATCTTGGCCATGTAATGTCCTATCACTCAACTCTGAATAAAGTTCTCATCCAAAAAGCCGAAAATCAGTGTAAAAGTGTGTCAAAAGATTCTGGGATCATTACTAAAAGGTTTTTCTATTCATAGTCACCAAGTGCAGTCACTTGAACTTGTACATTCTAATTAAATGCTTAGCAAGCAGCTTTAAAAGGATTATCCTGTTAGCATATTCCACAATGAAAGGTGTCAAGCATAATATAGAGAATACCTCCTCTGGAATAAATGTGGTATGTTTGGCGCACTAAACTATGTACCTGTCCTGGTAATGAGATTTCAGTTCATTCATTGGTGCTACACTGCAGCCAATCTGAGGAGCTAACAGAACACAGCAGCTCTCAGTCACGATTGTGTAACAGAGCAAAATTATTTGATTTTTTAACCATATTTTAAAGAACATACTGAACCATCCAAGCTTTTCTAGGAGTTACCAGAACTGCACATACTCTGTAGAACCTTACAGAAACCATATTCTTCAACCAATTATGCTAACTGTATGTGTGCGCCCACAGAATCTATGCAGAAGGCTAGATTTCTCTGCATCCACCTCTCTTTCTGGGAGAGCCTATCTATTTCCATAGCTCAAGGATCTTTTTTTTTTTTTTAAATTAAGATGGTTATTAGGATTCTTCACATATGCTGATGCTGAGATCTCACATATCACCATGTGGCTGCCAGACTTTTTGTTAGAGCCTTTTTCTTCACCTAAGAAAGCTAAAGGTAATGGAATTAGGAGCTCAGATTTGTTTTACGTGAATGTAGATATCTGTGTAATAAGTATGAAGGATCCCCAATACCATCCATACAGGGAAAACACATAACATTCAGTAAACTTTACTATTCTATCTTCTGGCCTTACCAAGTATAACCAAGTACTGAATGGGCTAGGAGAAATAGAACATAGACTAGGGTTCCCCAAAGAGTATCCTCCTGCTGTTTTGGATTACAACTTCCATCCGCTCTACCTACTATAGCCAATTATCAGAGATAATGAGTCCAATCATCTGGAAAGCATCCGATTGGAGAAGGTTGACCTACACCATAATTAAGGAAACATTTCAGGCATTTGGACAAATGGGTATCAAATTCTATTGACTTAAACACTGGATGCAAGGGACCCAAAGCATAAGGCTGCAGAGAACCTAATTACTGGTTCCAAATTCCTGACTCACAGAGTGCATTATCCTCCCTTTCAGGAAAGTGGAGGGAAAACTGGAGTTATATAAAATGGTATGTAAACTAAACAAACCATATAACTGTTATCCTGGCTATGTTCACTGACAAAAATAAGTCTTAACCTGTAGACAATACTTCAAACATTTTGTATACCTGATCTGACACCCAGAAAGTTACTATTTAAGTACCTCCAACTAAATAACAGCTTAACTTAGAAATAGGTATCAGCCTAATTAGGACAATAAAATGTGCAGCCAAACCAATTAAGTTCTCAAGATAATTACACCATTTCAGAAACACTGCAATCCATGGACACAAAACAAATGTTCTTAAACCCTGACCACAATGAGGTTTTCCTGTAGCTGAACATAAAAGGAAAAAAGTTTCACTGTCTACATAAAACTGTCTACATATTTGGATAAACAACCCCGACGTCAACTTTGTGTTTCTTTCAAAGTAAAAAAGAGAATGGATGTAACAGATGGTATTAAATACCAGGTCGTACCTAAATTGTAGCCACAAATGGAGTGCGCTTGGTGTTTTCTTTCTCTGTAGTCAAAATCCTCAGTTAATGTTACCTGATCCTCCAGCTAAAAGTCTGATATAGCTGGCTGCCTGTTGTAGAGACACAAGGAAACCATAGGACTGCAAGATCAAAAGTAACCCGGCAAACTTGTTAGGAAATGTATGCAGCCATTTCATAATCCAATACCCAATTTACTGTATATTCTTGCTATCTTTCACCTCAGTACAATCTATTGCTAGTATTAATGCTAATTTTTCATCTGGATGTTAGAAATATGCACCACTTTCTCCACTCTATTGGATCCCCGTTCTCCATATTTATGGACCAAAAAAATTGCAATTGTCATTATAGGCTTCACCTAATTGCTTCTTAATCTGCCTCCTTCTCTTTGTACATGCGGGTGCTCTTGGCCATCACATTCTCCTTTATTGCCTGTAAAACTATCATAAGCATCTTCTTTTCTTTTTTTTTTTTAAAAGGTCCACAGGTTTTTTTTAATCTTCTTCAGGGAATTCCCTTTTTCACCCATCCAGACGTTGAATCTCTGGGCGATTATCTACTTCTCTGGATTCTGTCCGAGCACGCATATAGTCACTGGTCTGTCGCGTGTTTTGCTGTCTATTGGTATTTCTCCAATTTTTAACTGCTAAAAATGAATTCACAGCATAGACTGCAGTTGCCAAAAAACCAAATATCTAAAAAGAGAAAGAGAACATTTGTTTGAAGTAATAACAGATAACTCTTAACAGAATACAAATTGTATGTGTGTGTGTGTGTGTTTCAGATAAAAAGGCAGTTGTATTTTATTGTCTTTAATATTGGTGTCCTGTTTAAAGGACGAACTATAATCTCTATCACACAAAATGCATTCACATAGAATACTTCTTAAAACTCCTTTGAACACAGGCCAGAAATAATAAGCCTATACTTTCAGTTGGGTGAGTACTTAATTGTTTAAGGGATTTTTTTTACCCGATTGGTGTCTTTTATATGAGGAGATCAAGAGGCACCTGAAAATACAGTAGACACAGAATACAGAATCAATATATCCCAAATATTTTCAGCTAATGCTACAAGATAGCCATTTATCCATCCATATGGTTTTTGAGCTGAAGCCCAACTCCATAAAAGAAAGTAAAACTGTCCCTCAAGCATCTGAAGACACTGATTGTTTCTTTTCCATTAAAGTTTTCCCTAGTCTCATGTCCTCTAGATTCTTGTGATGTAAGCCCAGAATTCTGCAGACAAAAATTATGGAATTGTAGCTCTGAAAGCAGAAAATTAGTTTATACCATAACACTGCAAAATTCTTTTATGAAACAGAACCCCTCATTAGCTAAAGCACCAATACTGTTAAGGTATTCACCATAAGTGTTTCCTTTAAGGAGTGTAGTATCACAGTAAAACACATCTCTCATTAGCTAAAGCACCAATACTGTTAAGGTATTCACCATAAGTGTTTCCTTTAAGGAGTGTAGTATCACAGTAAAACACATCTCAGGTGAGAAAAGGTGGAGCCGGCACTCTATGATTGGATAGCCTACGTATAACAGTAGGCTGTTCCCCCAAGCAAAGTTGTTGGGGGATGTTTGGAGAGGAGGCACTGTTGTTGAAGTGCTACATTGGACTGAATTGTAAGTGTATGACCCTGGACTGTTTAATTGACCATTGCCTATTGTATATATCTTTGCTCATTGAAATACAAGTCTACTGGACTACAGCTGTGTTTGACTTGTTATTTTACTGCTATGCATATCTACTGGTTTAGTAGATATCATCTCCAAGCCTATCCCCTGATAGATACACAATCTATAGACCTTGTGCCACATGGGGCTTTAACTAAATGTTGGCTTGCAGCCCCTTCCTAGACAGACAGACAGAAACTTTATTTTGGTCATTGACCAATAAACCCTTCCTAGAACCCCTTCAAGGATTGCTGCTGAATCATGCTTTTTAATTTCTAACACAAGGGAATAATTATTAAATACATGGAGAGTGATTATTAACTTTAAAGAGAGTGGTATCTGGCACATCACTCAAAGGCAAAGTGCGGTCTTACACGGACACACACACACACACAAGGCTGCAAACTTACACGGACACACACACACACACAAGGCTGCAAACTTACACGGACACACACACACACACAAGGCTGCAAACTTACACGGACACACACACACACACAAGGCTGCAAACTTACACGGACACACACACACACACAAGGCTGCAAACCCCTGATCTAATCAGGAAAAAAGCTTGCTGTGATTTTCACTTTATGGCAACTTAAACATCTTTGTTATTAAGCTCCATGTTTTAAAAAAAGTCAAACATGATGGATCATTTATACTTCAATAACTTAAAACAGTCAAATAGATCAGCAATGCTATGATTGTAGTAGCCAGCATAAAGACAAAAATTTCTGTTTGTTGATGTTCTGACTTCAAACAAAACTGGTTGTCTTTATGCTGATTTCTATATGACAAGAGAGATAATTATTAAAACTCACTAAATTGAACATTCTAAACAACAACATAAATTAATCTGGGTGGCAGTTCACTGTTAAAGTGGACTGAGAGAAGACACAAATTATTCATCTTTTCTACAAGAGAATAAAAATATATCAATGTTTTCTTACCACAGCTGCAATTTCTGCACCTTTTTTATGGTTTAAAGCAGCAAGTACTACAGATGCAATGAAGAAGAAGAAAGTGCAGATTCCAGTATTGACCAAATCCTATAAAAACAAAATTATAAATATATCTTAGTGATAACATCAACTGAGTGGATGAAACAGAACAGTTTGCATGCGATTTCTTTATATAAAACAGTAACACTACAGAAAATGCACATTATGCACCCCAGTGAATAATTGCTGCATTATAGTCAACAAAAAGAATAATTGATTTATAAAACAAGGACAATTTCCACTAATTTTTTTTCTTTCCAAGTGATGAAATATTGTACAAGTTGTCTACCCACCAAACCTACTGTTGTTCATTCTTCCAGCTACAAAAATATTCTATAACTTAACTATTGATAGATAGACAGATAGACAGACAGATTGCCAGTTTTGTCAGATCTAAAAAACTATCTGTATGCCTGTCACATATTTCTTACTGTATTACATGATATAGGATCTCTGTAAAATGCTAACTGTTTGTGTGACATAGTTTTAGCATAAAGGAACATTTCTCTACATACTGGAGAAGTCTTTTAAAGTATTGTTCATCCCTGAAACAACAACTCATTCAGTAACTCCTGCAATTCAGTTTCACAGACTTCCTGTTTAGCAATGAAGCTCAAATGATTTTAAGCTCACTGAATTCCCAACTGTATAATTAGCATGCTGTTATGGGCATTATTATAATTCTAATGAATTAGAGATAATTCTTGTCAGAAACTTGTTAGATGCTTTACAGGCTTGCCAATAAACTCAAAATGAAAAAAAGGAACGCACATCATAGTTTTCACAGGACTATGAGAAAGAATTTCATCCTGGTTTTCACAGGACATACACAGGCACCTAGCCAATATACTTGATGTTCCAGTTAAGGAATAGTGGGAATACATTCTGTATGTCTATTCCAGAAGTATACCAAGATCACTTTTTTTTTTCCAATCCACCCTCTCTCTCAGCTTCAATTTTTCAGCAGCTTTTCAAATGGTAGATTTCTTCCTGTAGCCAGCAAGTTTTGCTGCAAAAAATATTTACACACAGCATATTTAAATTACTTTTGAGAGCCAGTCTGGTCTAGTGTTTAAGGCTCCAGGCTAGAAACCAGGAGACTCTGAGTTCAAGTCCCGCCTGAGGCATAAAAGCTGGCTGGGTGACTGTGGGCCAGTCATTCTCTCTCAGCCCCCAACGTCAGGCTCAGGCGACAAGCTGGTTGGTCAATTCCTGTCACAACCAACGGATCAACATTCAGTTGATCCAAAAAAAGCAGAACCTGCACCTGTGGGAAAATGCTAGGAAGAAAATATATATATTTAAATTACTTGATGTTTATATATTAAAAAGATATATTCAACAACTACATAGGGAAAGCTCTGGTAAATGGATGACTATGGCTATTTCAGTCAGCTAAACAGGAGCTGCATATGTAATCATGAAAATATTCACTGGATTAATATGGAGAAAAAAAACCCCTAATACTTCAGTATGTATTATTAACAAGTTAATCAGTGTCAATTGCTGAGTTTTTAAAAAGTGACATAGAAAGTATGGGGTTTCACCACAGTGATGTTGGATCATATCTTAATCTGCCAATAGTGTGTCCAGCTCCTTACTCAAAGCCACAATCTGCTGCTTTAAGATTTACCCACACCAAGTCAAGGCATCCCAGTTACCTTGACTTGCTACTGTCATAGCAAACTCAAAGCAATTTCTGGAAGGCAATCACATGACTTATTTGAAACCAAGGAACTTATTTAAATATCGCTTACTCCAGCTTTCTCCAACCCAGCATTGTCCAGTTATAATAAGACTGCAACTCTTACAATTCCTAGCCAGCATACAAGCTGCATTTTAATTCATCTGGATGATGCCTGTTGGGGATAGCTGACTTACAATATGCAATATGCTTCTAAATAGGCTAGCCTGAATATTCTTTTCTGAAAAGAACCTCTTCCCATCTCACCGTTTTACTTGCTATTTCAGAAACTGGCCATTGGGCAAGGAATATATTTGAAGTCCATTTGGGGTGTATGTTGGTTTCTACATCTTCCATATTATTTGGTTCTGCAGCATCATTGCTTGAAGTACATGGTAGCACTTTTGGCACACAATTTTGCCTTCCCTTCTAAATCTTTTTTATTTTCAACACATTTGTATTTCTAGTTATCACCTCCTTATGCATTCTTATACCAAGTATTTCCAAGTTTTAAATTCATAACATTAACTGGTCTTTCAAGTCAGAATACACAAAATGCTTAAAAAGTTTAGTTGCAGACAAAATACGTAGGTTCTTCTCTTTCTAGATGGGTGAAGAAAACAAAATGTCCTGTCTTTATTTCACACACAAAATGAAGGAAAGTAGAAATTTGAAAAACAAGACATTTTCCCTTTCAGGAACCCTGTAATTTTGAGATGTAAAGAAAAGGTATTTGGTTACACTGGTAAAATAAATATATATTTATTTTATATATATTTGGTATCTGCTATGAGCGCATTCATGTAATTTATCTCAACATATTAATTATGCAAAGGATAGAACTTCTACAATTAATTTTTCAGGCAAAAAGGTCAGATGACAAAACCTGTTAACGTGGGACGGGAGAGATGGACTAAGCTGATTGTGCAGTTCACAAAATATTTTAAAACTCAACAGATTCCCTGATTTTCTTGTATGCTAGGCAATTATGGGTCTTGTGTTTTTGTTAGACACAAGCCAAGAACAAGCAGATTTAGCCAAAACCAGAATATAATGGCACAAGTTTCTACTTGAAACTACCCTTTATATTACCCTACGCAAAAGCGATTTGAAGTTCTATTGAGAAAGACAAAGAAGGGTTCCGTAAATCAATTGTAATAAAGAAGTCAGATGTGAAAAACTGACTCCTGCTACCTTTCAACAACCTTTGCATTTGAGACGGCTTGTCCCAGGCCATCAACCTATAAGGACTGAAACAGGCAAGGCAGATATCAGCACTGCTCATACCAGACAGAACCATTGTATATATACAGAGCAGGTGCCTTCCAATCTCAAGGCTGGGAAAAGAACAGCCAAAAAGCTGTTGACTCAATAGAGTGAAAGGAAAAGGTTTATGATTTAAACCCTGGGGCTGCAATATATACAGAATTTTATTTCTGTGTTCTGCAGTAGGTAGATAATCTGCATATATATGGCTTCTTTCTGTCTGCAGTAAAACCACCTATCACAAGTTTCTGTTCTTATCTATTTCTTTAATGAAGGGTACAAAGGTATAGTAGTGCCAGGCTCAAAATCTGACAATCCTAGATTCTGAGTTGTTTGCTAGGTAACTTCAGCACGCTGTAAAATATCGATACATCCCCCTCCAAAAAAACATTTATTTCAAGGGGAAAAAATGCTCTGCTTCTCATACAGCAGGGAACAGTTTACTTCTTTCATTCCAGTTTTCACACCTTCTACTTTTCATGCCTAGACTAGCCTCACGCTTGCCAAACCAATGCTCTCATTCTCAGACCTCTCAAAGTTAATTTATTGCAACAGTGATATTAAATGCTATGACTTCTCATAGCCCTTTCTTTATCACAAATACTTGCTGATCCCTCTTCAATCACTGAGTTGGGCCTTCTAGTCTTTCCTGAGCCTTATTTAAATTGTAAATCTTTTGAAGAGAAACAAGCACCATTTTATGTTTTGTACAGTATACAGTTTGCACTAAATATTAAATTGCAGCAATCATGACGGCTAGTGTTGGGGTGAAATATGACTTTTTTCCATCCATTTTTACTTCCCCTGATGAATAATCCCATGCTAAGACACACTGCAGTAACATTTAGCCAAATGTGTGCTTGTCAGAATCTCAGAAACTGAAGCATTCCTTTGTCATTTCCAATTATTTGAAACAGATCCATTCTAACCAGTCACTAGGCGGAGAAGAAGAGGACTCTATATCAATTGCAATTACATTAACTATTTTGGGTATTTGCAATAGATTAAAACAAGTATTTATGAGTGAACATAAACTCATCATAAAAATGCTTTCAGATGGCCATTACATTCTTGATACTATTTGCATGCATTCTTGTAGAGCTATATTTGTTAAGTAACACAAAGGAGTTTCCACTGTTATTTTTTAACCCATTATCATAGGAAAACTATCAGTTTTAGTCTGAAAGATGACTTGTCCACTTATTCCCGGCATACAAAGTTCTTAACTCTTTCCAGCATACCACAACTGAGTCATTTGCATACTTCATCTTCTATAAGCTACGTTTTTGAAAAATAATTTAAAAGGCATGCAATTTCCCAATATGAAAATAGAAGCACTGCTGCCAAAAATAGTATTCTACTACATTTCTTTCTTTATGCAGAAACATATGAATATTTATCAAAAAACGTAAGACAAGGGTAACAGAGAAAACCCCAAAATGCAGTGTTGTGATCACTGCCATATGAACACTTGATCACTACATAAATTGTTGAAACACATAAAGTTTATTCTTCAAGAGCTCTCAGCACATATGCAACACTGAGGGTGCCATTTATTCTACAATGGAGGGGAAAACATCCACTGGCTTATCAGTTAATAAAAATGTGTATTCCAACTTGCCAAACTCTCATTCACACAATTAGCAAGCATGGGAGAGGACAAGTAAAGGAAAAAACAAATTACAGATGATACAGTAAAGTTAAGAGGCATCTCCTGAAAGTTAGCCTATATTTCAGGCTATTTTTTAAAGTATAGGAGTAGCACTAAAAGAAGGTCACAACCTTATTTCTCCAAGAAGATGGGGCAGAAAATGAGTTAAAATCTACTTCCACACTGAGAAAAACCAATCAATTCCAAAATTTAGCTCCATTATATATTAGTATCTATTCATAATTATTGATTTACAGAGCTAATTCACACAAATTGTATTGCATTCTAATATCAAGTATCAATATTAAGTGGTTAGAAAACTTCAAAGTGCTTTCCTCAGTCATGAGCAAGTAAAAAATGCATTAAAGAAAACCCTGCCTTATGCAGGAGGGAAAATGCTGTCAGACACAATTTCAGCTTTATATACTTTAACATACAATACTTCATAACACATATTACACCAGTGGGGATCCACACTGAATATAAAGCAGTACATGTCCTCTACTTGGTGCAAAGAGCTCTGGTAAGATCTCAAGTTTCTGTATGAGGCAAACAGAGCTTAAAATCTAAACTTCGTATGTTTATTCAGCTATTTTTGTAAAGTAAAGGTTTGGATGAGAACTTACTGTAATGTTCCAGTTGATCTGTGGTATTCTTGCATGGAGATTTAGACTGAACATAAGCAATAGAACTCCAGTAACTACTGATGCGCTACAGCTGACAAATTCAAAGAAATAAAGTCCTTCACAAGGGGAACATTCCATGATGGTCTCTATACAGATGAAGGAAATCAAAGCCAACACCTAAGATGTGAAAAACAGGAAAATAGTATTGTAACATCTTGAATATAGCCACAAATAATCCTGAAACACTCATTGGGAAGTTGATACTTAAGAATGTGCAATACAACTTCATGATTTAAAATAAGAATTCAACACAAGATATACAAAAGCTAGTTTGCTACTACAGTACAGCAATCTTAGACACACTCATCTACAACTTACTGTACAAATGATAGTATGTATTGGAGATCTATTCAATGCCACTATTGGGGATCTATGAAATGCTTCCAAATATAATTCAGCGCAAAGAGCCTGAACCAATAATTGTTAATGAAATGTGTTCTCTTGCGGAATTCCCAAACACCTTGAACATTTAAGAAATCTAAGGAGGGTATAGACATCATAGTCTCCTTTTTGAGTTTTCCCACTGCTTCTTTTTTTCTTTTCATAGAACATTTGTAAAGGAAGAGGTCTCTGAGGTCTGGTATCTCCTCAGTATTCTCTTTGAACAAAAAGAGATGGATTGGACAGCCTACCTCACTTGGTTGTAAAAATAAGGTATAATCTGATTTTCATACTAGATGTATAATGTAAAATCATTCTAAGACAGGTGTTCCTAAACTTTTTGCCATCATACTCCCTTTAGTGTAATCTTAATGTATGTACAACTAGTCCTCGCTTAACAACCATTTGTTCAGCAACCATTCAAAGTTACAACAGCGCTGAACGAAGGGACTTATGACCCATACCCAAAGTTACAGTGATCTGGGCCCTTGGCAATGTGATCGCCATTCGCAATCTTCTCTGCCAACTTCCCCAGAAAGTCAATGGGGAAGCTGGCAGGGAAGGTCGCAAGCTACTGCTGCCTGCCAAGAGGACTCCCTCTTATCTCTGGGGGCTGGCTGAAAAAGCTCCGTGCTGAAATCCAAGGAGGATTTTGACACAGGGCATTTTCAGCTGTTTTGCAAAACACTGCACTAAACACCCCATGCCAAAATCCTACTTGGGTTTCAGCATGAAACTTTTTCAGCCAGCCCCCAGAGATAAGAGGGAGTCCTCTTGGCAGGCAGCAGTAGCTTGCGACCTTCCCTGCCCGCCTCCCCATTTACTTTTTGTGGAAGGTGGGCAAGAAGGTTGTGATTGGCTGACACATTTCCCAGGGGCCCAGAC